AGCCCAAAATTTTTTACACGAAAAAAGAAAGCGTACAGAAATGACAGTGTTTGAAAGAAAGTAGCAGTAGCGATGAAGCAAAACGATTGAATTCCGTAGATAAGTAAGTAAATAAGACACAAATTAGAATTTCAGATAGCCAATAAGAGCACAGGAAAAAAAGTATTGACACGCAAGTAAGCAAAATGTAGAGCAGCAAGTACTGACTAGAACAGATATATCACAACTTAAAGTTGAAGGTCGGTCGTCTAACGATTGGAGTTGAGTAGAGAAGCGGAAAATAGCAAAGTGAAGCAAACAAAAGCGGGAATACTGATGAAAGGTGGAAGCATATCCAAAGATTCCTTTCTCAACTCTCCGAACAAACGCACGGTAGTACAACTCTATAACTCAAACCTTCCCATCAAGCCTATCCTCCACCAACTTGGCTACCACACTCCCATCAACCGGAATATAATTCAACTGGAACCCCTCCGGATACTCCACACTCGGTTCATGGGGATGCGAAATAATTTTTTGCGTCTTCTCAACCTGACCTTGTCCGAGTTCTCCAACCTTGTTACCCCAAATACCGAAATGCGACATGCCGAGTGCACGGCTTGTCCAGTGGTAATCGTGAGCAAAGCCTCCGGGGTAGAAGATTTCGATGACGGCGGAGAAGCGTGTTGGGGGCATCCAGAGGAGGTGGGTTAGGCCGTTGCCGTGGACGGAGATGAGGATCTAGTAGGGGGAAGATTGGGTTAGTACATGATTATGAGTTGGAGGAAGACGATAGAAAGCATCGAAAGAGGTCGCGGTCATGAGCCGCAGAAGAATGGGATGATTACATAGCAGAGCAAGAAAAGAACCAAAAACTCACTGTAGTTCTCGAAACAATCCGAACTTGCTCATCCTTACCCATCTTCTCCGGCTCCATCAACACAAACTCCCAACCTCTCTTCTTACAGGTCTCCCCCAACGCCTTAACCAACTCGTCATGCGCCTCATCAGTCAACTTTCTCCGCGCCGAAGGCTGCCTCGAGAGGTACGTCACCACCGTCTTGGATTCCGGAGCAGTAGGCACTTGGAGCGAAAGATCCTGCGTGATCTTCTTCAACTCCAAAACTCTCTTTTCTTCCCCATTTCTCTCATCCTTCAAACTCTCATCACCAAGCCTCGAAGTTCCAACCCACTCTCTGACTCTATCCACATTCGGATCTTCCTCGACAGGAACACCGACCCATTTCCACATCCTCTCTCTCACTTCGTTCCACCATCCACCGACTCTCTCGCCTCGAAGTAGACCACGGCCTCGCATGTACTCCCAAGCTTCTGCAGCTGTACGCTGGGAACGAGAGCCGCACATCAAACCTCTAAAGGCGGCGGAACGGTCTACGAGGACGACGATAGGGAAGAGGAATGCGCGGTCGAGGTTGCCTGGAGGTTCAAACGTCATCAGTATACCTAAAAACACATCAAAAGACACAAAAAACGCTCACCATTCTCCATTGCCGTAGCCTTGACCCTATCATTCCACGCCTCCTTTCCTTCAACAGCCATCCCAGGAAAAGCGCCTCTCAAAAAGAAGGCGTTGAACCCAGGCTTGTCTCTCCATTCCTCATCAGTCGCATGCATGAATATCGCTCTGTCAATCTTGGGCGACTCTGGGTGCTTGCGTAAGTATGATTGAGGGTGGTTTAGTGATAGCAACGCAGGATGCGATGACGTGTGTGGGATTGAGTGGGACGGGAGGTAGTCTGAAGCTGCCAGAGGTACAGCGTTCCAGGAAGAATGTGGGTTGTACGCGGGATCGTAGGATTGCCAGTTGGCGTAGCTAGGGTCGGTGGAGGAGTCGAAGGGGTTGGCTTGGAATGAGGAACGAGGGGATGATGGTGATGATGGGGACGACCACTGAACAAAGTCGTTGGAAGAATAGAAGGAAAGGGGTTTTGCCCATGCTGAATGCCAGAATGCCTGGAGACCAAAGAAAAGTTCGGCTACGAGGTGGTAGTAGTGATCGAGAAACTGTCGTGGGTCGTTGAAGAGAGCCTGTTGACGGAGAGGGAATTAGTATGTTTAATAACAAGTGAGAAGAAAGGAAAAAGAAAAGGCGCGCGGACTGATGAGTGATGTGACGTGGTTGACAGTTTCTTTCAACGCCAAAAAGTGGGACGCAGATACGTAGTCGTGTCATACACGAGAGGAAAGAATCATACTCACCGTGCTTCCATCAACAACGACCACCCTATTCCCCCCATCCTTCCCCACGTCGCCCCATCTCTTCTTCGCATCCGCTGGACTAATGAAACCCATGTCCCACTGCGTAGGCTCCCTCGCAGCTTCGTTGCCTGCTATAGCAGGCAAACCTGTACTCGTCATCATTCTAAAGTCTGGAAACTTTGCTCGAGCCATTGGGTCCTCGGGGGACAGTATCAGGAGAGTTCCGTTGGACATGTAGAGGTTCCGGAAAATTGTCCATCCCGGCGCGTGGTGGACTACAGAGGTAAAGGGAAGGGACCCCGAGGGGAAAGATTCGGGGGAGAGAGGTGTAGGTGCAGAAAGGACCGTTTTGGTTATTGTCTCTGTCTCCGCCTCTATCGGCGCTTGGTTTTGAAAGATTTGCTGATGCTGCTGACCGGCCCTTACATTCTTGTGGTTATCTGGCGGAGGGCGTAAGGGTTCGAGGTCGAATTGTGAGTGCTCGTGGATATGAGAGCTGATTATTATGGACTCGGTAGAAGGGGCTATGGGGAAGACCGAGGAAAAGAGGTGCATACATGTCGCACCAATAAGGATGAGTAGGGCGTCCCGTCTCGAAAGGGTCGTTCGACCTCCTATGACCATATTGCTGTAAAGACAGGTGGGGATAAAGGAAGGGACAGTTCAACGAGTGAACAAAGTTTGATAGGTCTGGGGGACGGGCGTTGGATAGAGGTAGAAGTTAATAGCAGATTAAGTTTATATGACCCTTGACTTGGCCTTCCAATTAGGATAAGATCATTCTAGCTGTCATACCCAAAAATTCCACGAGAACTCACCTCTTTGCAGCGAACGGCTATGGGTATCAAAAAAAGGGGAGGAGAAGAGGCCAGCACAGTCCGCTTATAAAATTAAAGTCGCTGAGAAAAACACATGAAGCGTGCCCCATATGGAATTACTAGCTGATATGATAAACATCTTCCGCTGGGTATAGCCTCTGGGATGGAGGTACAAGGCTTTCCCACTATATACAAGTAACAACGAAGAGAGAGGTGAAAAAAAAAGAGCAGCACGACACGGGAGTTCAGTCAGGTAATGGTGATGTAAAAAGAAGGAGAAATAGGAGTCTTTACTTCAACGAAGAACCGGACTTCGACCTTCAGTCGGAATTGCCCTGACCCATTATCTTGGCCTGCGTCGAGTTTGGAGATTTTTGTCAACCTTTGGATGCTCTTCGAGGTCGGAACAACACTGCATAGCTATGAACACCTTGAACCTATCATATTCCGCCACGGTTCACTCAAATCCCAACTTCGAACGCATTTTGCGAATGGCCACGAGCATCAAAGTTAATTGATACGATCAAAAACGCCATCTTTTGCGGCTTCGAGTAGCTAGCGGTCCTCATTCAGTTCGAATTCTTGCAGTTCGGTTTCACGTAAGTAGCATGGCGAACGAGCATCAATGTGTGCACCCTGGTTGCATATCTTTTTGAACACTTCAAAACACCCAAACCTCAGGCTCAACTTTGAATCATAATGCGCTCCTTAGAAGGTTTTTCTGGTGACTGACGAGCTCGTACTGCCACGGTATGATTCATGATCCATCCATTTTCTCAACGGAGATGTTTGTCTGAATCTGTTTCAGCGTGTACCTTTCCCCTGCCATTGAGCATGAACCTTTCAAAGCCTGCCGTCTTTTATATCTTTATCATTCTTAAAATGTGTCAGTACGCACCCCGTGAACTGTACACAATCATCATTGCTAACGTCATCCCCTCTTTCACACACTAATAAATGATCAACCTATCAACTCGGCCGAGGCCTTGGACGTTCTGAAGCACTCAGAAATCCATGCGTTCTCGACAGAACCTACGCAGTGGAGTCCTGACGCCCCAAAACGTCGGGATGTGGTGGGTGGGTGAAAAAGCGATCAGCGGATCGCAGTAGCAATAGTCGGTCGTGGCGGTAATCGATAAAGATAGGAAATACGAAGAGGTCGTGTGAGTCGTCACGTCACACTCACGCTCCCACGCACGGGCCACTCAACTCCTCGCTGCCTTATCCGTACCTACTACGCTCGTTCCTCGCAGCTGTATCTCAGATATAAGGCGAGCTCTTTGTTCAAGTCGTGGTCAAATTGATAGATTAGACTAATAAACAATAATACATGATTATTATCGTTTTCCGCATGACAATTCTAATTACTAGAATTGGGGTTTGGGGAAGGGATCGGCCTGAGTTGATTGATCACGTGATCGTGCCAATTCAATCCCGCGGAAAGGATTGATCAACCTATCAACTTGGCCGAGGCCTTGGACATTCTGAAGCACTCAGAAATCCATGTGTTCTCGACAGAACCTACGCAGTGGAGTCCTGACGCCCCAAATAGGAGACTCGTCTCCCAACTGACAGGAATCCATACTGCGTATGGACTGTCATCCCCGCACTGGAGATGAGTGTCCCCAAACCAATGTCTATTTTCCTATCGTAATGTAACGGTCTGTAGCATAGTGGTAATGCATTCCAATGGTATAAAGAAATGCTGGTTCGATTCCGGGTCCGTTAATATGTTAATATTTACGCTATCTTTTATTTTGTAAACCTCACTATTTCGTAGGCCATTGAATTAACGGGAGGAGTTTACTACGGATCTGTGGTGTAATTGGTAACACGCCAGATAAACTTGTCCTCCTATGCTTGCTTCACCTGGAGTCATTCAGTTCAAACCCAATCAGATCCATGTATCCTGTGTCTTCCATTTTTCTTTTCTAGAAGGTCGATTTTCACATTAAATATCTCGTTCTTATTCTCTACGTATACGGGTCTGTGGTGTAGTTGGTAACACATCAGGTAAACTTGTCTTCCTAAGCTTGCTTCACCTGAAGTGAATCGGTTCGAATCCGGTCAGATCCATATATCCTTCATTTCCTTTGAACCAATTTTATTCCTCGTTTGGATTGATGGTATGATGACCTGTGCCCATCTCTGGTCTATTGCCTCATAGCGATAATATCTTCAATTACAACAATTAAATTCAATTTTCTACCGAGAAATCTTCGCCTACAGAGACCTGTTTGTACAATACGTCTACGTCTTTAGCCGAAATACCATGTGCATTACGAAAGTTTGAAAACATCTTTGCCAATTCTTTCATCCTCTTCGAGTCATACGCCTTCGAAATCGCTTTCGGCAAAATATCCTCTAACCTTCTCCAGTATAAGAGGAATGCAAGAGATGTCCATCCTCCAGCTGCTGCCACCATTTCGGGCACTACTCCCGCCAACAGTAGTTCCGTCGCTCCTCCAATACGAAAACTATGGCCCAATGCATGCTTGAGTAAACGGTCTGACCATATCTTATGGCAGACATCCAAGAAAATCTTCTTCGTCAACATCTGCGATGTCCCTCTTTCGTTGGTAAAGGCAAATAGCGGAAAGTCTTCTGGTACGTCTCGACTTAGTTTCCTGTGGTTCTCAAAGGCTTTGTAACCACATATCTTCCGGAGTTTGTCGTCGTTGATAGAAGTGATGACCATTTTTCCTCCTTTCGTCTTCGTCCATGGTAGAGGTATCGTCAACGATTTGGCCCCATTCTCCAGCGTAAGGGAAATGATGTTCGATCCTTTCGTCGCGTGTAGTTTCTTGGAAAACTTCTTGGCCGAAGGGACTGTCGTCTCTCCTAAACGCCTCACACCCCAGAAGGTTCCTGTCACACAGGCGAATATTGCTGCATCCTTCGGAGACTTCTGGTGGTCCAAATCGCTTTCCAATACCATGAGGTGTTCGGGTGTGACTGGTGGTTGAGCTTCTTTCCTGAAGTCCGCTCCTTCTTTATTCGCCGTGGTCCTACCCATCTTAACCCATCTCTCTTCTCCTGCCCACGGTACGCCATGTATGTTGTGCCAGTGGTGGAGCCCAGCCAGATGCTGCGAAACAGTCTTCCCAGACATTCTGCCCGTCTCGTGGCCTATGAACGCTGTAAGGACAACATGGTCCGCCGGTAGACGTGACTCTTCCGGGATATTGTATTCGTCGCAGAACTGCGTGAACCGAAGTAGTCCAGCACTGTATACTGATTTTGACGCCTCTACTGTCGCCCCTAGGATAGCCTTGTTTGCCAGTTCGAGGACCTCCGACGAGTACTTGTCCTTCCTCGTTTGTTGTGCCTTCAGCACCATTGGCGATTTCCACCACGTAAGTCTGTGCTCGGCTCTGACCGTCGGTCTGAGGGAGGAAGGTTTGTATTCCCTTCCTTTGACTGCTTTCCTCTTCGTGAGTAACGAGTCCGGTGGTAACGTCGACGGATCTGTGAAAGGTTTCACTTGCGACTGCGACGTCTCTTCTGGACTCGACTGCTTCCAGGTTTCGAGAGAGAGAGGGAGTAGTAATGAGTTGGAAGTGGAGATGGGGTTGGAGACGGTATATGAGAGAGTATGGAACGAATGTGGTTCTTGTAGTGATGTATGCGGTGTATGCGGTGGATCAAGAGATAGTGGGTCCCAATTGGACTTCTGTTCGGGTACGAGTTTGCGCGGACAACTCGTCCTCGCGTCGTCACTCGACAACGCCTCCAAAAATATGTCGCTGGAAAAGGATTGTCAGAAATTCGTATTACTCGTCTCGATTTGGTTAATCACCTAAACATAAGTAACGACTCCTTTGAGCTCCTCTGGGAGCATAATCGAGTTTGCCATCTTAAACCTAGGGTCCCCTAGTTCTCCACGCAAGAAAGGGTCCGCTGGATTCATTTTCGACTTCATGTAAATAATGTGTGGGAATATGAGTAGGGAATTGAGAACGGCATAAATCCTCCTGATCGATGCATTGATCCATGTGTTAGGACTTCTGGCTTTCGCCAATGCTCCTATCGTGCCTTTGTTGTCTGAGTGTATCACCAGACTGCAGTCGCGATATCCGTAGACAACGAGGTAGTAGCTCAGTATTTCGATAGCGACTGTCTCCAACCAGCAGATATCTCTACTGCTACTTTCCAGTCTTCTGAAAGTTTGAAGACCGCCCAACGTTTGCCAATGCAGATGCCGATACCGAAGCTCGTCGACGCGTCCACGTATATGCCATTGTCCACTGGAAGACCCCGAGGTCTGAGTTGCCTGTAGAAGGTAGTGTCTTCGAGTGCTTGAAGCCACCAGTTGGCGTCTTGTATGCAGCTTCGGGATGGGTGTTTCTTGACGTATCGGTTGTCTTTGTAAAGCGCTGCGAAGTTTGAGAAAGACGCCAATCTTGAACGACCTTCTTCATAGACAAAGGCGCAATGGCATAACGTGCCGTGTAACGACTCGATGATGTCTAATGTCATTGCTTGACCTGCGTTGAGGAGAAAGGATTCGATACGCCTTGTGTATTTGATCCGTTTCTTCTCCGGTAGCGACACCCTCTTCTGAGGTATGTCCCACCTGAATCCGATAAAGTCCGTTATCTCGATGTATTCTGTATCTCCCTTTTCTGGGTGCCACGGGACACCAAGAATTTTGACGGCCGCGAAGAGACTGTCACGGTCAAAAAGGTAATCGTCAGCTCCCTCTGTGATAAAGCGGAGAGATTTTAAATTGTCTTCGTACTTCAGTATCGGCTTGAAACCTTTCGCGTGCCAAATGTCTACCATTGCATTCGTGATCATGCCCGCGTTGCTGCTCGCACACGTGCAACCGAAAGGCATACAATGGTCAATCCAGAATTCTCCCGGTCTTCCCTGAATGACTAGGTACGGCTTGTGGTCTGGATGGACTGGACAAGTCCTATGGAACGCCTCAATGTCCATTGTCGTAGCTTGCGTCCCCAGAGGCACATTTGCGATCTGATGAGTCTCGTCAGCGTCTCGAAATATTGTCTCATGTCTATGTCTTTGACTTCGTCACGAATGGAATGTCTCCCAGATCATTCAACGACTCAGTTTACGACTTCGACTTCGACCTAGTTATGGAAATCGACTCACAATCTCTGCGACTTTATTCGCCGTATCGAAACGAGTAGGGAAATCGTCTTTTTGAATGTACGAATTCACCGAAGGATCCATCTTGGACTCCTTCGATAAGTGACGACAAATTCGTAGTTTCGGCTCGACTCCAGGACCTTGGTCTTGTTCCGCCACGATGAGTGGTGAGCAATAGAAGTGTCCTCTTAGGATCTCTCTCACTCTCTGTTCAGTGAAAGGGCCCGAAATCCTTCCTATTTTCGCTTCTTTCTCCAGGTAGGCCATAACAGCTTCCAAGTGTTTCGCTACGGATGGATGGTTTGGATGGATGATGGTGTGGTCCAGTTGTGGCATTTTGCCCAGTGTGAAGCCGTTTTGTAGGTTGCGAACAAGATGTTGGTATTTTGCGGTCAAATCGCATTCTTCAAGAAGTTGTTGGAAGCCGAGCGCGTTGTATGGGGTATGTGTGTACTCGTAGACCAGGTTGTGCCATTCGGGTGCGTCCGGGTCCCGCTGTCGGTGGATGATGTCTGGGTAGAAATCGGTATAGGCTAGAGGGAAGGGTGATGCTAGTTTCAGGAAGTTCTCAATATCGTCTTGGAAATCCAAGGCGAGCTTGTCAAGAAAAGGTGAGGATTTGTGCTGAGAGTCCTTTGCAAAATGTGTGGTATCGGGGACGTCCTCTGGTTCCTCTGGTATAGAAGGTAGGCACGTTAGTTTACTATGCCTTGGACTGCCTTGGACATTTTCCGGAGGCGACGTAGTGCGAGGAGCTGCCGCAGAGAGAGCATATGTGCTCTCCTCCGCATTGATCCCTACTACACCTTCCTTGGTCCTTGGTGTTGCCATGTATGTTGAAGAGTGTGCAGATGGGGAGGTTTCCATCTTTGGAGTAGCAGTGACTGTTTTTGATGTAGCACCATGGTGGAGAGCCATGCTGCTTGTCATTGTGGTTCTTCGTGAGATGTCCCCGCTTACCGCATGCGTTGCAACAGGCGTCAGCGGGTACACTCCTGTTGCTCTTCTGAAAGGGCCGTGACGATGATGAGGACGAGGCAATCTGCTGGTTCCTGCTTGGAGCTGCTTGTGCCTTCTTCAAAGCGTTCTCTAGCTCCTCCACCCTCTTCCCAAGTGTCGTTTCCAACTTCTGCACCTCACTCTTCGCCTCACTCTTCGCCTCCATCTTCCCGACAACCTTGGCCTGCCATTCCTTCGAGTACGCCGATTGAGAGAAGGCGTAGCGGTGACTGAAGCGTTCGAAACACAAACGATACTCAACTGGTTTCCAGAGGTCGAAAAGACTCTTGTATTCTTCTTGCGACAGGAAGAAGGCAAAGTGGTTCACCGCGAAGGCTTCGTGGTTACCCGAGTTCCTGGCTCCGTCTAATGCCCTGCCCAGACGTATAGCATTTGCGGCCGCTTCCCTGAACTGCTCCAGTGACAGCGATGCATTCTCTTCTTTCCCTTCCGCATAACCCAGTTTGCTAGCTATCCCGGCGAGATTCAAGACACATGTCTCTGTCTTGCCATCTTTCTTCGGTACCTTGATATGTTCGAAGGTCAGGATGTTGGCCGAGATGTTTTCTAGGTTTTTGTTGAGGAGTAGTGGGAGAGGGACGTAAGTATAGCCGGCTGCTTCGATAAAATCTGGGTGCAGGAAGGTTTCCCTGCGCTTCCCTTCCGTCCTCTGTACCTCTTCGAAGGACATCGCGTATCTCTGCCTCTTTGATCCTTCCGCTTCTCCGTCGTTGCTCCTCCTCCTCTTTTCTGTCTCCTTCCCGCTCATCATCGCAAGTACCGCCGCATCTTCATCCTTCTTGCGTTTCTCCCATGTCCAGTAAGTATTAGTGAGGTAGGGAAGTACCTCCTTCTTCGCTTCGTCTGAATGGTAAATCGGAAGCAATTCTTTGGAGTCGATGGTGATTAGTGACGCGATCGGTGATGGTGGCGGTACTTCATCGTCAATTGATGCTGCCGGTTGC